ATTAAATAAAAATTTAAAATGTAAGTACTTTACTGTGTAAAAGTATTTACATGTATCTAGACATACACTATATTGCCAAAAGTATTGGTCGGCCTGCCTTTACACGCACATGAACGTTAATGGCATCCCAGTCTTGGTCCGTAGGGTTCAATATTGAGTTGGCCCCGCCCTTTGCTGCTATAACAGCTTCAACTCTTCTGGGAAGGCCATCCACAAGGTTTAGGAGGGTGTCTATGGGAAGGTTTCACCATTCTTCCAGAAGAGCATTTGTGAGGTCAGGCACTGATGTCGGGGGGAGGAGGCCTGGCTCACAGTCTCCACTCTAATTCATCCCAAAGGTGTTCTATCGGGTTGAGGTCAGGACTCTGTGCAGGCCAGTCAAGTTCCTCCACCCCAAACTCGCTCCTCCATGTCTTTATGGACCTTGCTTTGTGCACTGGTGCGCAGTCATGTTGTAACAGGAAGGGGCCACTGTATCTGACTTTGTGCACACAGTTTTTTACCTATTGACTCTGCAGACAGTTGGCGACTTCTGCGCACTGTGTGCTTCAGCATGCGCTGACCCCGCTCTATCATGTGACGTGGCCTACCACATGGTGGCTGAGTTGCTGTTGTTCCCAGTTGCTTCCACTTTGTTATAATCCCACTAACAGTTGGTCGTGGAATATTTAGTAGCCAGGAAATGTCACGGATGGACTTATTGCACAGGTGACAACCTATCACGGGACCACGCTTGAATTCACTGAGCTCCTAAGAACGACCCATTCTTTCACAAATGTTTGTAGAAGCAGTCTGCATGCCTCTGTGCTTGATTTTTTACACCTGTGGCCATGGAGGTGATTGGAACACCTGAATCCAATGATTTGGAGGGGTGTCCTAATACTTATGGCAATATAGTGTAGCTTAATCAAACTTCTCTAATCCGTTGATATATTATATCATCACCAAAAGGCCAGGCATAATATTCAGTATATGTAATCCTGCAGCCGTTCAGTAAGTGCCATTACTATAGTACGTCACATGTAGTGCTATGAAGAACACTTTCTGACCTTGTCATTGGGTTTGGGAGCAAAGGTAGGGTGGGCAATCCCCAGGCTTTTCCTAGGTGATGGCTCACAGGCCACAGTGAAGGAACACTCCTCATATTCTTCCAGGCATGCTGATCAGCTCCACATAAGCATTTAGAGAGAAAAATCATGAACGGTTCGCATTTCAGCCAGTTAATTACTCCATGTATGGCCAACTAAACCTCTAAAGGTGCCCTGGATAGCAGTTAAAACCTGATAGGTGTTTCTAGCCCTTTCCACTCCAATCAAAACGGAACTTTCTTATCGGGCATCTTAGTGTTGCCTTGCAGGGCTGAGATGGAGCATTCGCTGTTTCCTCAGTGACCATTCTGCAGCTGCAACCAATAATAGAGGATTTATGACACGTGGAATGATTTTTGCATAGAAGTTGTAAACTGCTTAAGCCACTGGAAACAACTTGTACGATTTATGGCTTGCCTCTGCCAGGCTTTTTGGTAAGCATAATATTTAACATAACTTAAAGCAGAGCTCCACCCAAAAGGGGAAGTTCCGCTTTAAGGACTGCTCCCTGCCGTCCCCATTAAGAATTGACACCTTTGGGGGGCTAGAGGGGGGGGAGCGGGTACCCAAATTTGACAGGTACCCGCAAACGGAAGGTGTCCTCCCTCCCTCCCTGTAGTCTTCTGGGACACGTGACGGGTCCCAGAAGACTAAAGGACCATTCATGAAGCACAGCGCTACTCGCGCATGCACAGTGGGTACCCGGCTGTGAAGTCATAAGCTGCACAGCTGGGTACCCACACTGAAGATGCCGGCCTCCTGGAATACAGGAAGGCCAGTGAAATGGGCTGCAGGGGACACACCGAGGGACAGGTAAGAGTAGCAGCTACAGTTTTTTGTAGCTGCTGACATTTATTTTTTGACAGGGTGAGTGGAACTCCGCTTTAATGCCCATGTGCTGTTTAAACATATGAATACGGCTGTAATGGTTTTCTTTCAAATTAATGTTCACCTTTGTCACACTTCCTGCTTGTACTGGGCTTGTTTACGGGGCATAACTTCATCCAGGTGATTTAAACATTGAGTCACCATTAGATGAAACTTGTTAGAGCGACAGTTCTAATTTCTGCAATATACAGTCATGGCCAAAAATCTTGGCACCCCTGCATTTCTATCAGATAATGCACCACTTTGCCCAGGAAATTGTTGTAATTACAAATGTTTAGGCATTTTTATGTTTATTTCTTTTTGTTTGTATTGGTATGACACAAAGTGGAGAAACAACAAGCCAAATCTGACACATTCCAAGCAAAAACACCAAGAATGGACAGGACAAAGTTCTTCAAAACTGTACTCCAAAATAGGAAGGATTCCAAGGTTGTGATGCTTCTGTAATTTGTAACTAAACTCACCTGTATGAATTAACAGGTGCTGACAATATAGAATTACACCGGCAACCAGTGAAACATTGACTCAACCTTTCTGTTGTGTGTCTGTGTGCCACATGGAGAAGAGAGAGAGCAGCAAAGAATTGTCTGAGGAACAAAAATTGTGGAAAAGCATGGCCAATCTCAAGGTTACATGTCCATCTCCAGAGATCTTAATGTTCCTGTGTCCACTGTGTGCAACATTCTCAAGAAATTTACATGGCACTGTAACTAATCTCCCTGGATGTGGACAAAACAGAAACATCGATCAAAGTTTCAAAAATGCAAATTAATGAAATACTTGTGAGCCACTAGAAGTTTTCTTACTTATAAAGCAATAAATTCAGTGTATAAAAATACTAATAATATTGAATTTATGAATAAAAGTGAACGACTAATAAATCAATTGACGTGCTTGATTAAATAATTAAGTATTTAGATCGCCAGGTACTTTTTACACCCTCGGTATATTCTCAGACGCCGTATAGTCATATTCCAGCCCTTCAGAAAGTCAGAGCAAAAATGGCGTCGGTAGGATATATATAACCTTCGGTGCAGGATGACATGTAAAACTACATCCCCCAGAGGAAGCTACGAGTCCCTGTAGCGTAACGCGTAGGGGAGGGGCGGTGACGTCATCACGCATCCACAGAGGAAACGGCGAGTATAAGCGAGTGAACACACACACACACTGCAGGGCTGTTTGCAGGAGGACCTGGATTTATTTACACAAAAGCGTTACTTTTGCTGATACCATGTGAGTGGGAGATCAGAAGCTCATTAAACATTTTTACTCAGGATAAGACACTATGTTTCTTTTTCCCTTTTCTATGTATGTATCGTCCATGGAGGAATAAGCCAAGCAGATAGAGGAGAAAATCCTAATTGAGAAAAGCTGAATTGAGGAGAAAGGAGAGGAGGAAGGAGAGAGAGGTTCATGTCATGAACATAGACTTACCACGCCAATCAGATTGATTCACATTACCATCTCAATTCGTATGAACTGAACTATTTTTTATATTTTCATTATATATCATTATATATTTTTTCACTTTTGAATAGTTTTTCAGGCACGCAGTTTTTTTGCATTGATTTACAAATATTAATGAAATTTTTTTGATTCACTTCAATTATGGATTCAAGTATTATGCAATTATGAATTTAAGTATTATGGATATAGATTATTATTGAATTTTTAGTTATATACAATATTTATTTATTTATTTAGAGCACTTAGATTTATTAATTTTGGAGCGCGGTACAATATAGATATATGAAATTATCGATCAAAGTTTGCAACGAAGGATTGTTTGGTGAATAAAGAATCTCAATCAATTTCCAGACAGTCAAGCTGTCCTTCAGGCACAGGGTACAACAGTTTGTACTATTCGTTGCCATCTCAATGAAAAGGGACGTTCTGGTAGGAAACCCAGGAGGACCCCACTGCTGACACAAACGTAAAAAAACAAAATTGGAGCTTGCCAAAACTTACCTGAGGAAGCCAAAATCCTTTTGGGAGAATGTGCTGTGGACAGACAAGACAATATTACAGAGTTTTTGGTAAAGCTCATCATTCTGCTGGTTTCAGAAAAAGCAATGAGGCCTTTAAAGAAAAGAATGCAGTCCCTACAGTCAAACATGATGGAGATTCTCTGATGTTTTGGGGTTGCTTTGCTGCTTTAGGCACTGGATGTCTTGACCGTGTGCATGGCATTATGAAAGCTACATACTACCAAAGAATTCCGGGGTGAAATGTAGGGCCCAGTGTCAGAAAGTTGGGTCTCCATCAGAGGTCGTACAGCAGGGCAATGACCCAAAGCACACGTCAAAAAGCACCCAGAAATGGTTTCAGACTAAGTGCTGAAGAGTTCTGAACTGGCCAGCAATGAGTCCAGGTCTCAATCCCATAGAGCACATGAGAGAGATCTCACAACAGCATTTGGGAAAAGGAACCCTTCCAATCTGAGAGACCTGGAGCAGTTGGTGTAAGAAGAGTGCTCCAAAATTCCACTAGAGAGGTGGAAGAAACTTAATGATGGTTACAGGAAGCCATTGATGTCAGTTATTTTTTCCAAGGGTTCTGCTACCAAATATTAAATTGAGGGTGCCAATAATTTTATCCACTCCATTTTTGGGGGTTTCATGGAATGTGTCAGATTTGACTTTTTGTTTCTCTACTTTTTTTGTCATACCAATACAAACAAAAGAAATAAACATGAGAATCCCTAAACATTTGTAATTGCAACAATTTTCTGGGCGAAGTGGTGCATTATCTAACTGAAATTGCTGGGTTTTTCCAGTCGGTTATTACATTTTTCAACCTATTTTACATCTGTGTCCTTCTGACTCATCCCACTCTTTGATACAGATACTGAACAATGACTACTGCCTCCTCTGCATTCTTACCCATAATCCCTTGTCGTATTATTGGTGTAGTCACAATGCTGTCACGCAATTCTGGTGGTCCTCAGCTGCCATCTGGTGTGAAATTGTGCAGTCAGCTCTTTTTACCTGTGCTCATCTAGTGCCATCTTCTATTTTGCAGGATAAGAACACTTATTTGGACATCATCCACACCTATATGGAGGTACATGGTACTGTACATGAGAAGGGTACGGTCCATATGCCCAATTATGTGAAGAATCATGGGATCTTGAGTGGTCGAGACCTGCAGTTCCTGCTCCGGGAAACTAAAGTGAGTTGTCTGTTTCTTCAGTGAGGTTTCGTGGCAACTAGGTGTACAGTGATCACACACGGATGGGTTTGCAACTGTAGTTGCAATGTACATAATTATGGAAGCTGAATGTATAAATAGAACATAGGCCCAACACGAAGATAAAACTGCCCTTGACAGCTAAAAGTAGATGGGAAGAGCTATCTCCACTGATCTTTCAAGGCATGTGTGGGATTCACTTGGCACCTGCTTTTAAAGTGGAACTCTAATCAAATGGCAAAAAAAGTTGACATATTTAAAGCTGTAGCTTTACTTACTTGCCAAAGGATTGGTAAAGTAGAATTATAAAGCAGGCCACACAATTCTACTGAAATTCGGAAATGCTACTGTGCTTAGAATCCCTCACCACTTAAACTAATCTATAATACCTTAAAGTGAAAGCGGCTACTATAAACCTTTAAAACATTAACACGAAATAAAAAGAAAAAACTAATTTTCTCCAGGCAGTGCTTTCAGCTAAAATAATTGATGAAATAAATTGCCCAGTAATAAGCGAAAATAACAAACCTTTACAGTGAATGCTTTAAGTCCAAAATAATTTCAAAAAAATGTCTTTTTCAATCGGACCTTTTCATGCATTCAAATTGCCCAGTGCTTCTTATTCTTCAAATCCACTTCACCACAGTTTGAACAGTGACATTCACTCCCCTTACGGTTCAACTCTCACCAGCTCCTTTTGCCTCTCATTTTACTGTTTTGGAATTTAACCCCTTGACGCCAACGTAACACAAATATGTGGCCTCACAGAACTGGGCTTTTTTCCGTGGGGCCGCATATTTGTCTTTTTTTGTTGGGAGCGCGCCGCACAGCGTGCTCCCAGCACAAAGACCGCGGTGTCACTGAGAACCCCGGGTCCCGTTTTAACGATCGTAACCCCCGATTCCGGGTCACACGATCGCTGTGGTGGCCTCTGATTGGCTGTTACAGTGATTAGTCACTGTACAGCCCGGCCCCCTTGTTTTTTTTTCTCTCTATGAATGGAGATAGATCCTGGCAGAGAGAGGAAAAAAAAAGTTTGTAAAAAAAATATTAAAGAAGTATTAAAAAATAAAATACTTAGATCAAGGTTTGATCTAGTTCAGTGCTAGGGTTAGTGTTTGGGTCCAAGGTCAAAGGTCAGGATTTTTTTTTTAAATAGTGTCTGTCAGTGTGTTTTTAGGTAAAAAAAAAAAAAAGACAAAAACAAAATTATTTTTATTATTCTACAGGATTTATATAGCGCCAACAGTTTGCTCAGCGCTTTGATGCACACTAATGTTTCTAGGCTGTACTGCGGGTACAAACAATAAATAACATACACATATAAGCTATCGCTGCGATCGTCAAGAGCTGTAGAATTTCTTTTGAGTTGTTCTTTGGTGGTAGGTTATGGTAGTAACAAGAAACACACAGCTAAATAAAAAAAAAATTTTTTTTTTACTATTTTGGGCAAGTTTTCCTTTGATAATAAAAAAAAAAAAAAAATCAGGAGATATCCATTACCATTTACCACCAAATGAAAGCCCAATTTCTCCTGAAAAAAAACGCGGTATAATTCACCCGGGTGTTCAAAGTAGTTGTGATGATATGCACGGTTTTACTAACGCATGTCAACGTTGCAAAATTGTGCTTAGGCATTTAGATGTGTTTTACCCTTTAGGCGTGAAGGGGTTAAGTATTCACTGTAAAGGTTGATATTTTCACCTATCACTGGGTGATTTTATAGCATCAATTGTTTTAGTTGAAAGCACTGCCTGGAGAAGAATTGAGTTTTTTTTCTTTCTTTCATACTATTATACTACTTTCTTTCCTGCAACCAAAGGTTTGCAGGAAAATTGCTTGATTCTTCCAACATAGTATTGATGGGGGTAAAACTCTCCTGCAGCACTATTGTGTTCTGCCGACAGGGAGCCTTCCCTGCTCCAGAACACAGTGTTCACTGCTGGTGGCTATAGTCGCCGGCAGTGGTCAAAAGGAAAAAAAAAAAAACAAGCTGGTTGTACTGAAGTTGATCAATGGAACGACTTCAATACAACCAGCCTGCCAATAGATGGGATCGATTTGATCCATCTATGGCTGGCTTAATTCTTGTGGTTCACTCAATGCATAGCCAGGCAGGTGACACCAGTGTTTCCCTATTCAAGTTTACTGTGTCCTGTGAGGCCTACCTGATTATTGGGAAAATGAATAAGCAAAGATTCTGCTGATTATTCAGTTAATATGGTTGGAGGTAAGTAACATTGATAAGTTTCAAAGCTGAATCTGAGACCTGGGTGATACCCACCTGACTCTCTAAGGTGGAAGAGGTGTGTGAATCACTGGACTGGACAAACAGAGTAAAAAATACTTTGGTGATGTGCTTGGATGTCAACTTTTTTTTCATTAAAGCCCAGCTATGGGTTCAAGAACCTTCCCAGGCGTAGATTAGTAAGCTTGCTTCCGCTGCCAATCTTCATTCATAAAGGCAAAACTAGTTTCAACGTGATGAACAGTACAGCTCCTGCTATGCTTTTGGGCCACTGCAGATGGAAATTCTGCAGGTCTCGGACCCCAGAGCTGCGGTTATATCTGTCTCCCTCTTCCGGAAGATCACAAATTAAGTCGGAGACCATTTGCTTTGTGAATGACTAGGTGAAGAGGGGGTCAGAGACATGAACAACATATCAACAGGGGTATACTTGCAGTGCTTCATCCATAGAGACGTCAAAGTACAGCAGGAGCTGTAACCATTGGACATGTAAGCAAATGTTTACCTCTGAGTCTGCGTACGTGGAAAGGTTCTTGTGACCTGTCGTGCTCCTTTCCTTTTATGATCAGTTTACTTTGAACAGAGACAAGTTCACTTTTGTGGATCCAAGCCGTAGTAGTCTCCATGCAATTAGACATATGCTGTTGTATTCATTTCAGACAAAGGACTTGCGTGAGTCCAAGTAACCAGGATACTGAAGTACCAACATAAGCACCACCTGGGAATCTGTTTTTCTATCCAGTTTATAAGTTCAAAAGAACCTGAGAAAAAGGCCAATGGTGTTGTGTATTTTATACATACAAAACAATGCATTCCTCTGCATGGAAAGGTGCAGATAATGTCTAGTGTGTCACAATGGCAGGGTTTTTTGACTGTTGGGTTTATAAGAAGTAGGGACTAGTAGAAAACCAATACCGGGTTTTTTATTGGCGAGTACAGGTGCCAATAAATAATACTGCCAGTACCAATACTTTGCGGTGTGATTTGTGTTAATGGATGCAAATTGCACAGCAAAGAATAGCATGTGATTTGAACAAAAATGCAATTCCTCTCCAAATCGCATGCGCTTTCCCCACTGCTCCTGTGTGAACCCGGGCATGTCATAGCCAGAGTTCACACTGGAGCAGTGGGTGAAACCTCCTTGCAGGCATCCCATGCTGCGTGTCGGTGGTAGGAGAGAAGAGGAAGCAGCTGGGATTTGAAATCCCCACTGCTTTCTTTCCTCTCCTTGCAGCAATGACCGGTCAGGCTAGACAGCATCTGATTGGTTAGCTGCTGACCAATCAGATGCCGTCTAGAACTGACTGAGTAGGTCCGCCTTATGCCACCAAAACAGCCCTAACCCATCAAGACATGGACTCCACTAGACCTCTGAAGGTATGTTGCCGTCAGGACCCCTGATAAGGGGTTATCCCTGGCCCTTCTGTAGGGGGCCCGGCTGGAGAAGGTGCCCTGGGCAGCTGACAAGTCCATCTGCAGCTGCTAAATTCCATTGTTGGCCTCCTGTCATTCTGCTCCACAAGTTTGACACTTTCAAGTTTCCTTCTGTGTACATTTGATTGCAACTTTGTTTCTCTCCTCTCCCCCAGGCTGCTGACCCCTTTCTGTTCACTGATACAAACCTCTCTTTCCTTATACAACTTGACCCCCTCCCCCCCACTGTCATCACCTATTCCCTATACATCACTGCTCAACTCTTTTTATTTATTTACTGATCTAGTTAATGTCTAGTTTCCTATCACTTACAGCTCAAATCTAGCATTATGATAAGATTCCTAACTCGCTACTAGTCTGATTGAATTCACAATTCCTGGTCAGTCCCGTTCCCTTACCTATAATAACCTTTAGAGCCAGTTCACACTCCATGCGTTTCAGTTGCTTTTTTTCTGCATCCAAAATGCACAGAAAGTAGGTTATATGGTGATCAATGTCACAGTTTACATCAGTGCTTTCAGTTTCGGTTGCAGAAAAAAAAAAGTAGAACAGGCTACATTTTGTTCTGCACAGAACTGTACTGGAACACGTTAAAATGCATCAAAAATACACTGGAATGCACATGTCCCTATTTAAATTAAAGAAAAAAGAGGGGAAAAATGAACTGGAATGCATACAAAACACACTGGAATGCATCAAAAACATGCATGCAAAAACGTATCCGGAACACATCTAGACTGCATTTCTATAGTGTGAACCGGCCCTTAGGACTTGTTCACACCATTTGTGGTGCAGAAACGCATGAATTTTCCTGCACAGCATAGAAATGCAATGCCCTTTTGCAGATGTGCGCAGGTACCATGAATACTTAAACACATTTAGTAAACACAGACGCATTCACAGCCACCAAAACGCATGGTACCACACTACTGTGTGGTTAGGTGCAACACACTTTTAAAATAATACCCCTTTAGTATTTTTGCATGTTCCCACATGGTAGGCAGCCCATTGAAATTAATGGGCTGAGGAAAAAAAAAATTGTCAAAAATGCCACATTCACACTGGCCTGTACAGCATGAATGAGTGGGTTGTTCACATGGCTGGAGCCACCTGTTACGCTATGGGGACACAGCAGCTGTATGAACACAGGTTTTAATCTGACAGGTGTGCAGGTGTGGGGAAGTGGCCCTGAATGCTCACTGTCTGAGTTCAGGGCTGTACACCTGCACCCATGCCTGTCAAATTAGGACCTGCAGCATTTCTATAGTGTAACATAGGTTGCCTGCAAACTGCTCCAAGC